ACAGGTGACCTATCTGACATGATGCAGCATGATACAAAATAAGTCATAGAAAAAAAAAAAAGACTGACAGGGTGGAGACAAACATTTGTCATTACCACATTGCCGTGCACTGGCACACGTGGGTTAAGTGTTTTGAAAGTTGAGGAGTTGAAACCCCCTTTGATAACCAAAGAAATTATTTTTCCTATCATAAAATAGAAGTGCACTGATTCCTGTGGATAGTCCATGATGTATATATATGCAAACAACATTACGACAAACCAAAGAAAACACAGTAACAGTAATATTGGAGCTCTTGAGGGACAATAAACATGACAGCCTCTGCACAATACAAGTAATTGAGAGCAGAGTGAAACTGCATGGCAAACTGACACAGAGAGCTGTTGTCCCGCTGACAGGATGTGAGTATAAAAAGTGAAACGTGAGCGGGAAGTGTGCAGGGTCATAAAGCAGCAGTCCCACACACACACTTATTCTTACAGACAGACAGACAGATAAACAGACAGGCAGACAGGCAGTTTGGGGTAAAACAGGAACTTAGAGCAGACGGATTCACAGCCATGGTTGACTACACACAAATAACTAATTTCCTTAGAATGATAACAGGAGGAGATTGAGAACAGCCAACAATGAATAAAATATATTGAAGAATTTTTTGACTAGGACATTATTCCTGGTGAACATTGAACACTGCTGGCTTAAGTGTTATAGCACCTTAAGCTTTTAAGAGATAAGCTGTTCTAACAGCTGAGATTTATTAATCCTGCTTTCCCAAATAGTGAGACTCAAAAGGCTCCTTGTGTAAGGGGCTACACAATTATGGCTAGAATGATAACCCTGCTTCATAGGCCTGTTTCATAGCAGACCGTGATGATGTACAGAATTTAGTTCACTTCATTTCACAAGGATATTCCAATCAGTACCAATGCTGCTTCCCAGTACAAGGTACTTATATTAGAAATAAATTATTAAAAAAAGAAAGAGCATGTGTCATAACAAGTGCATCCATTCTTATTAGTACAACCCAGCATAGATCGAACCATCGAACCCTGAATAGACATCAAGTCAGAATAACTTGATTAGGTGTGCAGGTCCTTCAATGATTTGACCAAGATAACAATTTTATACAACTTGTTTAACCTTGTGCCTATAGTGACTGGCCCTCTGGGAATATATAATTTTCTTATTTAAATGTTCTCTTAAAATCTTAAAATTTATCTCCCTTGTGTCTTCAAATTACACTTTTTATTGACACACAAACACACGCACACGCACACACACACACACACACACACACACACACACACACACACACACACACACACACACACACACACACACACACACACACACACACACACACACACACACACACACACACACACACACACACACACACACACACACACACACACACACACACACACAATCTGTTAGCTGAGCATCTGAAGCTCTAGAGCCAGCGAGAAGTCTGTTGTGCTTTCTGTTCCAGCCCAGATGGCAGCATTGGCTGAGTCAGCGGTGGCTGGTGGTCCACAGTAAACTGCATGATTAGTCGCTGACAACAGGAGGAGAGCGCCGAGCACTAAGAGCCAGGAGCTGAGGGACTTCTTAGCCAGTTTGTTCTGTCTGAATGAAGTAACAATTGAAGCAAGTGAGTGTTCAGCTTCTTCTGAAGGGTGTGCAAAACTTGATGCCATGAACAAATTAAATTTAAATCACTTTAGTCCTGGGGACAATGATTTTGTCCTGGTCATACCTGTAAAACAGCTGCCACACCTGCTTCAGTTTAGAAATAACTAATATCTGTATACCATAACCAACTGGACAGTTGTTACTTTTTGTTTTCACTTGAGACAACAGCGCCGTCCTCATTCTTCAGCTAATTGAACACAGGAGGGAAACTAATTTGGCTAAAATCTGACACACATACACAAATGTGTGATTGAATGTGCCAGAGACAGTCTTTCAGTGCTGCAGGCTAACCCCAGTTGACATCAACAGTGAAATACAGATATAAGAAGGCTTCACACTGCTTGTTTAGCTAAAACCTAAACTCAGATATTAGACTTGGCACTGGTGCGGTGAGCAGTGCTGGAAGGATATCCTTTGGGATTTCTCATTTAGTGTCACAAAGCAACTTGCAATTCATAGCCGGACAAACAGAAACTGCTGCAACAAGCATTTGGAAGTTTGAGAACAGCTAATCTGCAAATATCCCATTACCTTTATCCGGCCTGGTGAGAGTTTAAAGCAGCACATTTCAGGATGTGTCTTTGTAATATGACTGTAATGGCTGTAGTCATCATATTTCACACATCAGAGGGCAGCATCAGTGCTCGCTAACCATGTTTCAGGTGGATACTGTATTTCTTTGATCTCGTCAACACACGGTCAGTTCAAAGCTGATGCACACGTTGCTGTGTAGATTTGTGTTTAGGTTTCACGTCAGTACATATTTTGGTCCTCTTTTGGTTATTGTGGGGGCCGCAGGGGTAAAACTTTATACTTATCATGATAATAATAATACTTGTCTATGTTAGTATTAGTATCCATTCTGTTCTTACTTTATTTTCTTCAGTTGTGCAAGTGATGTAGTCACAGCATCCAAGCAGTGTTAAGTAAGTACAAAAGATACACAGCGATGCAACACAAAGGCCTGCCCCTGTGCTTGCTTCAGGCAACCTGTAATGCAAACGGCAGGTTACAAACCACAACATGAAAAAATGCCACCGTTCGACAGGGTGTGATGCGCCATATCCTGTTTTTCTGTCACAGACGTGAACGCTGCGCAGTGAGAGAACAAGAATTCTAGCAGCTACTACTACTGCCAGAGAGATGGTCGAGTTTCAGCCATACACACACACAAATACAGGGGGGGGTTTAACCGGCCACTAGCCAAATGCTGGTAAAATATGAGAGGGGTAGGTAGATTTATAATAATATTAATCTTTATTTAATCAGTCTCATTGAGCTTTTCCAAGAGAGACCTGAGAACAAAAAGCATTCACACAAACACAATCACAAAACAGATACGGAATAATGATTTACTAATGAGGAAATGGTGAACATTTATCTGTCAGTGGCTGGTAGATGTTTAAAAAGTCAATTTCCCACCCTGACACACACACACACACACACACACACACACACACACACACACACACACACTGCATTCAGACTCTGCCAAGATACATTTGTTAAGTTTGACATGCCTTTTGCTCTTTTCAGTGTTCTCCCATTTGCTGCACCACATCCCATCAGCACGGCACCTGAAACATTTACATGGTTCACAAGCGCCACACAAAACCCAACAAGAACTGATGACCCAGTCTGCAGGGACATAGGGCCCATCACTGGGATGTTCCAGAGTAATGCATCGACTGGTGTTTGCAAACGCTGACCAGACATTTAAAAGCAAAAGTCTGACACCTCTACAGAACAAGACTTACATGTGATTGTAAGCCAAGTGCCTCATCATATGTGATTATTTATACATCTTGCTGCTTATAGTAATGACTGGGCATTTTCTGTTTTGGGGCTATACAAAGCCCTGCGTGCTCTACACTGTGTAAAAGTGAATACTGTGGAGCACATTTAGACTAGGTTATGCAAAGAACATGTAAAACATTTCAACTTCTTCCAAGAGAGATCAGGTTCATCCACAACAGCCATTGTCCCATAGTCACAGAATTCAACCAGCATTCCATTAATGCTGCAGCTACAGCACTGGCATACCGACTGAAACAACACACACACACACACACACTCAGTCACTGTTGTTGAGGAGTGCAGCTGTTGCTGTATGTCCTCTCCAACAAAAGAGCGCCATTTCAGTGCATTGAGAGTCACGATAAAGCACATTCCTCTCACAACTTCCAAAAATTGGCCTCTCAAGCTGGTTTTAGATGTAAAGCCTGAAGAGACAAAATGTACCTGATTGTGAGTCCTGACACTTTTTAAGACCCCTCACACATTGGCTAAATGGTTTTACACAATTCACGCAAAATGTCTTTTTGTTTCAGACTGCGAACCAATTTAAGACTCAAATCCTTTATTCATGTCTCACTCCTCAATCAATGCCAACCATATAACTATAGCCCCCCCCCCCCATATAATGTAGAATGATACCACCACCTACACCTCAACACTGCGGTGACTCATAATACACTGGACTGAATGAATGTATTGCTGTTAGATGTAATGAATTATCTACCCCAATAACATGCCATGGAGCAAAATAGAGTCACTCATTGCGATTCGGTGTCGAGAGAAGAGAAAGAAACAGCTGCTGTTGTCTGGCATTTACTACAGTAACAAAACATTAACTAAACTAGGGTTGTGTGTCTCTATGAGGCTGAGAAATTCACACGTTAGAAACCCAAGAGAGGAAACAAGTCACACTTTGTTTCAACCACCTGCCACTATAAGTACAGTACACTGATGTCAGGACGCAGCGACTGCAGATGGAAAAGTTATAACTTAAGGCAAACCGGGGTCCCAAAGCATTTCACTTCACTCACACACTCAATCAGGCGAGTACGATTCAAAATAAAGCAACAATCACATCTCTCGGTGAAGTGACAACGGGGGGAAACTCAGATGAAACGTGGCTCCGATTCGGTTGCTACTTGCAGGCTAAGTTTGCTGGCTAGCCAGTCCGCCTGTTAGCCGGTACTGCTGTCAAGCAAAACCCGAGAAAGGGTATTTCCTCCGTAACAAAGTCTGTGAGAATAAACGAGGCACAAGCGGTGAGAAACGAAAGTCTTGTTGCACTTGCAAGACGTTCAACGCCACCGCAGAAACTCATTTCAGCGCTCAAAGGCGGCCGATGTTAGCTAGCGAGTTAGCGCATCCTCCCCGGCTTCTCTTCCCATGTGAACTCATTTGACAGTCACTGATTTCACGAGGATACACAATTTGGCTCGACACCAGGTGAAGTAAACCCAACTTGGCGCACACTAAACACGAATAAAAGTTGGTTAAACCCAAAAACTCACCTGTGTGTCTCTTTGGGTAGTACTTTTTAGGATGTTATGAACCGAAGTGTTGGTCTCGGCAGTACTTTCACCGACCTTGGCAGCCCTGCCTGTCCCCAGCAGCAACACACAACAACACTCTGAGCGCGGACCCCTCCCTCTGCCGCCAGAGGCACCAAGAGGAAAAAAAATAGAGTTACAGGCCCCGCCCACACACGTCTGTAATTGGTCAATATTAGGGACAGTGCGAAATGAGCCAATTAAAACCACCATTGTTTATATGTTTGTAATGCAGCAAATGATTTTCTCTCTGCAAGTTTAAGATAAATGAAGTTTATTATGAACATACAATGACTGAACGAAGCTTTATCTATTATGTTGTTCCAGTGCTTTAAATCAAGATTTCTTTAAGGGTTGAAGCACTTTGGGCACTATTTTAATGCTATTTAGTATAAATAACTATAATATAAATGATAGCTACTGTCATTATGGATACTTGCTAATTACATTTACATATAAAATTCATCTTACCCTTGTCAGTGTTTCATGTGTAAAGCACATATAATATTATATAAATGTAGAGAATAAGTATAGAGGTGGAAAGATGTTTATAAGTTGATTAGTCAGTTGACAGAAAATATCTATACGGCAACAATATCGACTCATCTTTTCTGCTTCTGAAATATGAGAATGTTTAATACTTTTCTTTGTCATGTATGATAAATTGAATATTGTTGGGGTTTGTCTTGTTGGTTGTTTGGGCAAAAACAAGCTATTTGAATATGTCACTGTGGGCTCTTCTCAATTATAATGGGCATATTTCACTATTTGTTTTACATTTTATAAAAAAAAGATTCATCAATTATTCAAGAACATAAATGACAGATGAATCAGTATGCAAACCAGAAGTATTTGTTATTTGGCGCCCAAAATAAGTGTGTTAGCATCACTTGTACTATTTATGTTATCCAACCTTATAACATTTATAACCAGGTCAGGGTTCAGTTAGCAAAATGTAAGTCACATCATAAGCCTCCTGCTTGTAACGGCTGGCCTCAGCCAGTGTTAAGATTGATGCATGAAGTCAAAGGCATGTTTGAACATTGGAGGGTCTAGAGAATGGGGGCCTTGCATATTTGGCCCTAAGGGCTGCAGTGCAAAAGCAACAGGAACACACACACACACACACACACACACACACACACACACACACACACACACACACACACACACACACACACACACACAGCTTTAAAAATGCCAAGGCTCTACAATCAAAACAGTGCAGGGCCACATGTAGCTGGCTGATGCTATTCCTGTGTATGTTGCCATACCAGGTTGCCACGACGCATGCTGGAGCCTCGTGTCTGTGACTGTGGGAAAGGTTTGGAGCTCTTTGTTGTCAGCAGTGTGGTCAAAGGTATGTACAGGGTAAACACACCTCCACAAGACTATAAGGGCCAGTTTGGTTAGATGATGGGGGGTCAGAGTACACCCACGTCTTCCACTACCACAACCGCTGGTTGTCATGGAGTTAAGTTTCCTTTACAGTAACCTTACACACACCCACACAGACCAAGACACAGTCAGCATATGTGTTTATTACTCTGTCTAGCTATAATACTTTATTATATGTGATAATTATCCACTGATGTGTTATATCAGTTAGCATGCTATGACACATTTCTGAGCTATCACTGCATGTATCTGAAGTTCTCAAGGAAGGGAACAGAATTACAACCATAGAGAATGAAAAACATAGGCTTAAAGACAGTAATAGAAAAGCTGAATGACAGAGTCTATCCAGTCTATTCAACAGGTCAACTAACAAGTACATAGGAAACCTAAATGCATACACTTTACTGAAGGTTTTGGTTCAGTTGCTTATTCTCTGACCGTTAATGTGTGAGTGACACTGTGAGTACTTTGAAAAAGCCTGAGAAGGTCAATAACTAAAACGTTTCCTATGTGAAGTATTAGTTTGTCACACAATATGTCTAAATAGCATACAAGTACAATTGTGTAAAATTGTCCAAAAGTGACACCTGGTGGTGATTGCTTGTAGTGTTGTTGCAGTAAAGTACCTATCATAATGTCACATAAGAGCTCAAACTCTAATTTGGCCCATCTGCTGTGCAGCATTTATAGAATAACACTGAACCATTTGAGCTGAAGTACAGATCAGAACAAATAGACTACAAGGACAAATATCCTCACTGTACTTTACACAAACCCCATTTAAATCAGTTATTGAACATCAGAGAACATTTGGCTACATTTGTTTTTGTTTTAATGCAATAACATTAAACACACAACTGGCGCTAATAGTTGTGAGGCAAAACTTTGTTAAGTACAAATAATACCTCAATAAAACATAAAAAGTCAAATGGCTGAAATGACTCCTATAGTTTTCCACTTATATACTGAGATTCAAAATATTTAAAGTCCCCCTCCACTCAAAAATAGGTTTCTCTTCTTGTTCCTGCAGTGTGATGTTTGAATGGTGTCTGTGCAGAGTTTTGACCCTGTTCATCTGCTGAAAGTGGAAAGTTTCTCTGTGCTCATTGAAAAGCTGATTTTAATGGGCGGGGCCTACCAGCAGGATTTGCGACATCGAAAATAGTTTAGAAATCAGTCCTGGTCCAGTATGCAACTTGTACAGTGTGATGTAGAAACTTGAATCCGCCAGTGCACATCCACTGAGAATGGACTTTACAGTGAAGAAGGAGACATCTTGTGTCCAGCAGGAAAACTTTAGAAATTAAGGTGGAAATTGTAAAAAAGTGAGATTGGCTCTCACTTACAGAAAAGGGAGTAAATGTAATTATTTTCTTCCATCCATGCATTTGCTTTTTGTTTTTGTGATCTAGGGTTGAAAGTACAATAAAATATAATTTGTGACTTACTAAAATGAATGATTAAATCATAAACTATAAAATGTGACACAGATGCATAATGCAACATATTTATGCCCAGTTGTCTGTAACAGCAAGAAAATGTCCTTTTTACAATAATTTTATTCAAGATAAACTGCTCTTACAGCAGAGCCACAACAAGATTACAACCAAAGAGGGACAGATAAAGCCACTGAAATTATGAATTTATATCTGTATCCTTACAGCTCGTCCCCTTTTGACATCCATGCAATAAATACTGCATTGATACATTCAATCTGTAAAATCTTGCATATTTAAACAAGTCAAACAAAGAAGTCACATTTAAGGTCAATTATTCATGCAAATATCACAGTGATCATTTGGTTCAAGTCTGCCTTGTATATAGAAAGGGTTCTCTCCATGCATCCTCTGGGTGGCAGTAGCTCAGCACGCTGCTGCCTCATCTGGCTCTGGCTGTATCTGCACACACATCAACTGAATTTAATATAATGCACATAATCTGTGCTTCAATGGATAATGCAAAACAGCTAATCAATCTATATGATCTACAGTTTGTGCATTCTTTAAAAGTTTTACTGGTATTTTTATCTCAAAATGTCTTACTCTGCTTCACTTAAAGTTCTCCCCTCTCATACTCATCCTACTCTATATATTATACTTGATGATTTATGAACACAGCGCAGTATGTGTGGGTGGAGTTTGCTCGCAGTCACTCACTGCGTTATAGGATTACAAGTGCTTTATGCCATATCATATTAGCTGTAGGATAACGTACAAAACATTGAATCCCTCCTTCACATAAGCTACATGCAGACACTGTCATTCAAGTGTAACACCGCAAATATATTTTAAATGTTATCCTGTACAGTATGACGTCTTCTTTATTGCGACATGACCAAGATGATATGGAGTCCCATAATCCCCTGAAGACCATGTTAATGATGCTGAGAAGTGGGTGGGTGCACAACTAGGTGGGTTACATTGATTTTTATGCTGTCCCCTAAAGCAGTTTGAGGAGTGATACAGCAAAATACATAATTATTTACAGTGATTTAAAGCTGCAGCAGGTACATTTTATAAAAATATTTTTTTGTCATATTTGTTGCGTGTAAAGCACATAAAGCTCACACTGTATGACCGCACCTAGTGCGTCTAATGGCATCTGCAAGAATCCACCTTTCTTGAATGAAAACAACCAATCAGAGCTGAGAAAGACAGTTGATTGTTGAGTCTTGTTCCCAAATTATGAATAAATATTTGACAACCTGTCAAATAGTTATGTTACCCACATGCCTGCAACTGGGCTATTGGTAGGTAGAGAAAGAGAGTCTAGAAGTCAAAGGCTTGTTGGAGCCAACGGTGGCCAGTGAAGACTAGTTGTGGCCCTGAGCAAGGACGCCTGAACCTTGTTTATTGTCTGCTCTAATCTACTCCCAGGACAGGGATTGAAAATGAGCTTAATAGGGTGACATGAGGCAATTGGCTGCCGTTTCCAAGAGGGGGGCTTCAGATGCAGAGCGTAAAATAATACATACACTGATATTAACATTTAGCCCCCTGGAGGTGGAAACAAATACAGAAACAATCGCCATGTTAGTGCTCCTTTCTCCGTTTGCCATGGGTGTTGTGCAGAGCTTTCTCTTTAATCTCCCGATGTACGTGCTTGGCAGGATGTGGCTGTGGCTAATGGCAGCATAGACTTTGGATTACTCTGGCTGTCTAACAATACACTTGTCTAAAAAGGACATGAAGACGTGTATTTGATATATGAGCCTAAACTGATGTGTTCAAGCTCTTTAATTGTTTTGATCCTCTGTCAATTTCAGATCCTTTTAAACACTTTGGTTTAAAACAAAGGGAAGGGATAACGGTAAGTCATATGTCAACATTTCCATTTTTGTGGGTCAAAATCTAAAAGCTGCCAGGACAGATGTGAGTATGCACGGATTCTAAATGTCACCACTGCTGTTTGATGACGAGGCTTTTTGTCGCCCAGCGGACCAGGTGCATTGAAGTGTCGTTGCAGCTTCCTCACAACCTCCTCGCACTGAGGAGCGTCCAAATGTCGGCCCTCCGTTTGCCCCGGCCGTGGAAACACTGGGTTCTGCAAGTTGAACGGAGAGGACAAAATGAATTAAATCCACCTCCTTCTCCTCCATTTTTTTCTGATGAATAGCTGTAGATGCAGGGATGGAGGCCCCCTTGCATTGTCCAGTTTGCTGACTTTGAGACCCTCCAGTCTGACCCCATCTGCAGCCT